AAGGAGGGTACAATCACTATATTCCCAAATAATCATCCAACTTGTCCTGAAGCCTACACTACAACTCTTAAAAAGTCCTTTTTGATCTACAACCAATTATTCCTGAGGTAGCAATGAGTTAAAATTAAGGGCAAGCATATGGACTGAGACTTATTGCACTGAGCCTTCTTCCTGAGTGCAAGAGTGTTTGATTGTATCCCCTGTACATATGTGTTGAGTTTGGGATTTTATTTGATGTGAGCACGCTTGAATTGCAAGATTTGGTAGAAGTTAGCCTTCTTGAAATAGTATACAAGTGCATATATAGTTGTGAGTAGCACTCTGTCATTGATCTCGAGGCTTGAAGTTGACAAACTGATTATATGAACTGTTAAATGATCTTTATCTTCAAAGAAAGGTGAATAAAAGAAGTTACATGCTTGTTAGCTAACATTCAGCACCATCCATAGTCAATGTTGCTTTGTGATCAGTCGGAAGTATATTAGTATTTGGTAGGTTGACTTTTTAGTTGCTTGAGGGCAAGCAAGAGTCTAAGTTGGGAGTGTTGATATGCCGTAAAAATGCGGCACTTTTGATACTAATTACATAGATTTTAGCTCATCTTTTAAAGCATTATAAGTCATTTCTTATGTAGTTTTGGTGTTTTGCAGGAAACCAGACTTTAAGAGCCAAGAACATGAAAAAGAGGACAAAGAGCCGTGGAAAGGCAGAAATGTGACAGGTCTGCGACCGCAAAAGTGATATGCGGACTGTAGACCCATCGCAGAATGAAGCAGAACATCCCAGTTTCTGAGAATCAAGTCTGCGATCCATTGTGCGGTCGCATAACTCTTATGCTGACCGAATAGTGATCGCACAAATGCAAAAGAAGTTCCAGTGAAGATGACTTTACGGTACGTTATGCGATCGCGAAACCAATATGCAGATCACATAACCATAATGCGATGGAAACTGGAAAGCTTTGTGATCAATTTTTCGGTGAAAAATGAAGATATACGGACCGCGAAAGCGTTCTGCGACCCATTCTGCGGTCGCAGACATGATCCGCAGGGTCATTTTTATCACTTTTTTACCACGACTTTTAGACCATTATAAAGAGAATGATTAGGGTTTTGTGGACCATATTGTCTGAAAAAGAGGCTACACTTAGAGCATTGAATACACCATTATTTTGAAAGTTTTGGAGAGAGAATCCAAGACTTTATTTTCTTTGTAAGCTTTATGACTTTATTTATTACTTTGTTCTTGTATTCTAGTAGAGTAGCTAACTTTAAATACTAAGATTGTGAACCCTAAGTGGGTGTAATATTAATGCGTGTTTACCATTGAATATATATAATGGTTGGTTGATTTCTATTCATTTCTTATGCTTCATTTATGGTTGATAGTTGCAAATATTGACTAGTGACATTTGACTCTATTTTTACTTGGAAAAGTGGGTTAAGGTTTGGTAGCATTGAATAGCAAGAACTCAAGGCTTTAAACCTTGTTTAATAGAATCGCTTAGGGATAAAAAGATTCTACTTGGCATAAATTAGTTGCTCTTAATTGTAATTCTTTTATATTTGGGAAAATCATAAAAAGGAAATATTACCTAGTAATTGAAAAATATTGGGTAGTCATGTAGGAACTATTTGCATATCAAAGGACCTTCCACTAGAAATATATTATATTAACACCGATAGCATTACATTCCATTGATGGGGACACAACCTTGGTTTCTTAATTAAATTAATCGAATTCTCTTAACAAAATAGTTGTTCTTTACAATTCACATTTACAAAACTCTTTTTAAACTAACGGAGTAAAACTACGACTTAAGTCAAGTTTCACACTATTCAAGTAACCTTTTCACACCTATTCCCTGTGGGATTCGACCCCAACCTAGTTGGGTTATTATATTTGACACTGACTGCCTTACACCATTTATATAGGTGTAATTTGAGCGTATTACATATCTGAAAGCAAACAAGTCCGCGTTAGCAGTTAAGAATTGATGAAACTTACCCGGTTCCTGAAGTTTGCAGCCGATGTAAGCTTTCTTGTTGTGGTCGTTGTTGTCTAACTGAATAGTGTCGAGGTCCTCTATGGTCCATTTTGCAGCTTTGACCGTATCGGGGTCTCTGATGACGTCCTCGCTGTCGTCACACATCGACTTCGACCGTATTGATTGTTATGCCTCTTTTTTTTTTTGTCCTTTGTTTGTTGGGTGGCTGTACAGTTTAGGGCGATGCGATAGCATTCCTGGGATGTGCGTTGTTCCCCTCGTATACTGAATATTCCCCATGGAGTTGGAAATTTGATGACTTGGTATAGGTTGGAGGGGATGGATCTCATGGTGTATATCCATGGTCGCCCTATTATGGCGGTGTACGTCGTGTCTTGGTCCATGATATGGAGTGTGGTTTTCAGAGTGATGCCAAGAGCTCAAAAGGATCAGAATGATCTGAGATTTCAAGGAAAGAAGAGCTAATTGATCAATTGTAACTTGTAATGTTGGTTTCGGTCTTGACGGTTGAACTAGTCACTATATATTGAAGCAACAAGGCTGCTAGTTAAGAATAGAACAAGAATTTCTCCATGAGTGTCATTGCTTTGAAAATAGAACTAGGTTCCAAGAAGTTGTAGTGAGAATTCGGGACATATACTATAAATATTTCATAGTTCTCCTTTTATTTCTTTTAACGGAATTTAATTAGTTATCTTTGTATGCTATCTCATTCTTCACAGAAGATTGTTTCTGATGATAAATGTTACTAATATAATAATTGGTCGAAAATGGTTTCCATTTTCAAACATATCTGGATGGAGGTTGATGTTAATCATAGATATTTTTCATTGGTTTGTGGGGTATGTATATACATCTTGGAGTTATTTTTCATAGCTGCAGTAATGAGATCAATTATTTGAGGGGAAAAAAACAAACCTATATGAAGACTTCCATTCCTGCAGTCAATTAACGACTCAAGTTGTTTTAGCTATGACATTTAAATGCTGCAAACAGTCAATTCGAATCATTAAATATGATGACGAAAACCAGCCGTGGTGCTTTCTATAGAAGATGGTAAAAGACTACTTAGACTATAGTTCTGTTTTGTGTAATTGTATCCAATATTTTTAGGTTTAGCGAGATTTCGAACCTTCTCTGGTACTTCACCTGAAAATGAGAAATATCCACCGTATGCAATAGCACTGTTTACTCTAAAATCGGATAACAATTAAACTTGTACGTAATTTTAAAAATACGTGAATTGATTCAACACAAATAATCAAGAATATTAGATAAACAAATTAAAGATAAAATAAACGATCAAACCAGTTGTAATGTTATGGTCTAGCCCAACCCTAGGTTGAACAGTAAATTTACCCCCGATCGGACCCTTGGTTCGAACCTAATTGTGAGTGAAGAACATAACAGTTAAATAAGAACTTTTGCATCAGCTAGAAAGCAGAAATGAATTTGTATTGCTTTGATTCGCGTGTTACAATATGTGTTACAAAAGAAAAACTTCTTATTTATACAGTAGGAGCGTTTCATCCCTAGTACAAGTTTAAAAAAGGTAAAAGTCTTCCTTTTTCATTAATTACTGATCTGTAACCGACATTGAGCGAGATTTGCGCCGTGATATCCGATTAGGTACGAATATCACAACCCTCTATCCGTCGTGTGTAACCGTTTACCGTGTTTCCCGAAGTTTTAGAACCCGTTCTGGGTCTGAAAAATCGGGGTATATATTACCCCGATTTTACCCGTATACAAGCACAATTAAGGAGCACATACATGATTCGATAAATAATTACATGATGGCACAAAGAAGAAAAAAGAAACAAATATCTATAACTCATCATGCAACCAAGATATAAAGTGACAGCATAGTCAAGTACCTAATCTGTTAAGGCATCAATCCGCTGAACTTACTGAATGTCAATGAAAAAAGTTTGAATCTTTGGGCATTTGAAACTTACTGAATTGACGAGAGTCAATATTGGAGGATTAACAAATGTATGAAACCTAAGCCAAATGATGTAGAAACGAACCCAAAGTTGTTTCTAATTTTTTATGCTTGTTACTAACTGCTACTTGGTCCAGTCAATGTTGGATTTTTACTGGAAATTGCTTTCTTCTTGGAGTCACTGGATTTTAGTTGCCAAGTGTTAGTGATATATTGGGCGGGGATCTAAGTACTTGGTAAAGGAGTTTTCAGTCTTTTAGTTTTTTTTTTCACCCATTAGGACCCACCTTAAATATTTCAATTGTGACTTGTGAGTGAGTGGAAAATCTAGATTGTATTTATGCTTTCAATGTGCAGTCAAGCTGTTAATTGGAGCAACTCCATTCAACTTGGTAACCAAAAGAGCCTATAACTTGTAGTTCAACATTTTGCACTGCTCTTCATCGACCCTTGAAATAATAATTATCATCAATATTATATAAGGCATTCTTCCATGCCAACTTCAGTACACACATATATTAAAGGGCACACGCGCGCACACAACTCACACTCAAACCATAAACACACACAAGAGAAAAGCATAATAAACAATAAAAGTCCAAATCTCGGACCAAATGTTAGTTGTCATCTCAATTGGTGGAAAAGGCGGCACTACCTGTTCAAAATTTTGAACGGGATCAAACTTGAGTTGGATGGATAGGAACGCAAAAATATACTAATAGTAACAGAGACTTGAGTTAGTTTCATATTTTTCCTTTGATAAATGAAACTCTTAATTTTTTGAACTTTAAATTTCTTTCTTAGTTTCATTGGACTTTGTTTTCCTTTTGTTTTGCCATCTTAAATTAAGACACTCTTAAAAAAGATGTCTTTCAATTCAGTTCTCTTTTTCTTTTTTGTTTAACTACAAGGGGATATGTTTGTATGAAAAAAAAATGGTTCATTTCTACATTTAGATATGGTATAGACAAGAAAAGAATCATTTCTATCCAGATGACATGAGAAGTTCGATGAAAAAGCTGGATACTTACCATCACATAAACCTTGCTACATCATTTGCTGAAGAAATTCGAGCTTGATCTTCATGATATTTGCCGGGACATCTTTCATGTTCAGTCTCTCATTAGGAGATTCAGCTGTGCAATTCAAAGCCAACTCCAAAATAGAGGACACACAATGCAACTTTTTCTTGAAATCAATCTCTTCTGGTTCCAATAAGGTGGCATCAATAATATCCTCTGAATTACAGACCCAACTCCTCATGCTCAAATTTTCTTGAAACATTTCATCATATGGCTTTTTTCTTGTGAATGTTTCCATGAGCATTATGCCGTAGCTGTACACATCACATCTTCTAGAAACTAATCCTACTGATCCAATGTTGCTAGAGTAAATTATTTTCTTAACGGACTACATAAATAAACGAAAGTAATATCTTTATATTTGAATGATATTAAAAAAAAATCTATCTTGAGTAGATAAATTTTAAAAAAAAACTGAAGGCAGAACTGGAATGCACCAAGAGTAAGACAATCAAATAAAATGATAAGACTGCAAGTTTCTTTTTCTTTGTTTCAGTCTCTAACACTTCTATCTAACCGTATAATTTCTTGTTCATTAAATTAGTTTCAGCACTTAAAAAATACTTAAAAGCTACATTCATGTTTTAGCTAAGCCAAATGGACTCTATATTTCGGTGTTTTCAATACCATTTTTTTTATGAATCTGTGATATATTACATAAAACAACAAAATAAAAGATTACGTGCTATTTAACACAATAACACTTTATATTCGATAATAAAATAAAAGACCAAAAAGAAAGTTACCTGGTGCAATATAGCCCATTGTTACAAGTGTGTTAGTATGAGCAATAGATTTCCCTTCTCCTAATAACTTGGTCATGCCAAAGTCACTCACGTGCCCAACCGGTCTTTCGTCTAGCAAGACATTACTAGGCTTCAAGTCGCTATGTACAACTACTGTTGCATAACCATGATGGAGATATTTCAAAGCTGATGCAACATCGATCATTATGTCTAATCTTTGGATCATATTCAAGTAGTAATCATCAGAATGTAACCATTGCTCTAGGCTTCCATTGGGCATGTACTCTACAAGTAATACTTTAAAATCCATGTTACTACAACTGCTAATAACTTTGGTAAGATTTCTGTGGCGAAGGTTGCGTAAAATTTCACATTCAGTATCAAAACTCTTGAATGCACGTAAATTAAACACTTTGATTGCCAAAACCATCTCATTCGCAAAGATGCCCTTGTAAACAGAACCGAAACCTCCACGGCCTAGCAAGTTGCATTGGTCGAACCCTTGAGTTGCCCTTTCGATTTCAATGTATGAAATCCTGGATGTTCATCACTCATGGAGAAGAAATCTGCTTCTCCATGAGTGATGAACAGACCTAGCCTTACAAGGTCGGAAAAGGAAACCACCACATAACTCTTCATTTCCCATAAAAGATTGAGAGGTGAAATTGAGAAAAGGTCCTTTACTTGGGATTTCACCTTCTAATCTATTGAATGATACGTTGAAATCCGTCAGATACCGAAGTCTCTAATGATTTTGGAATCATACCTGAAAGAATGTTATTGGATAGATTCGCCCATTCCAAACTTATCATTTTATCGAATGACTCAGGAATAGATCCTTGCAACTCATTGAAAGCCAAAGAAAGATAAATTAATTTCTGCAAGTCTCCGACCGTGGTTGGAATACTTCCTGAAAGGTGATTCCTCGACAAATCTACTTTTGTTATGGCATCCAAATTTCCGAAATCTGGAGGTAAAGAACCAACCAAAGAATTATTGGACAAGTGAAGAACTACAAGATCTTTGAGGCTCCATAGACTCATGGGTATGTTAGTGAGCCTATTTGAATTTAGGTAAATATTTCTCAAAGAGGTAGTACTATTGCCAATGCAATATGATATTGGACCCGATATTTGATTATACGACAAACTAACGTAGCCTAGCTCTGGCAATTTGCAAAGGCACTCTGGGAAGGGTCCAGTTAACCTATTTTGATCAAGAGCTAAAACTTGAAGATTCTGTAAATCACATAATGATCTTGGCAGTGATCCAGTCAAGGCATTGCCGAATAGGGACAAAGTGTTTAAGTTACTTAAATTACCAATTCCTAATGGTATCTGTCCCCTAATTTCAGAATAATATACACTAAATCGTTCAAGAGAAGTGGAGGAGAGATTGCTAATGGAATCTGGAAGAACACCATTAAGAGGATTATGCGATATCGCTATCTCTTTCAAAGATCTGCAATTCGCTAAAGAAGTTAAGATACTTAGGTGCGGAGATGATAAGTGGTTTTTGAACAACCTCAAATGTTCAAGCTGTCTCAAATCCCCCAAAGAGTTAGGAATCGGGCCACTGAATTTGTTATCATAAAGATGTAATTCCCTTAGATTTGAAGAATTGGAGATTGAGCTGGGTATAACTCCATATATGCTGTTATCACCTAGATGCAGACAATGTAGATTTGTTTCACTACTAAAAATCTGCTAAAAACCGACTAACTATTTCCGACCAACGTTGGTCGGTCAAAAAATGCGACCAAAAATCGTCCAGGTTGGACGCAAACTGGGAAAAAAAACATTTACATTTTTTTAAAACAAAATACCGACCAACGTTGGTCGGTAAATTGG